TTATATTCTAAGCTGTCCTGTAAGCGCATAATGTAAATATTTGACACTTTTCTAACTTTTGCTCTTTTTTCTCCTTTTCTTACTGGCATTACTTCATTGCTTTCCAATTTTGATTTTAAAAACCTTACTAAGAATTCCACTTTTGGAAGATTTAAAACTTTGTATCGCCAATAGCCCCAAACAGGCAAACCCTAGCCTCTCTTTACACCCATTTTGTATTTCATTCTTTTGTTCTTCCAAAAAAGATAAGTTCCCTACTTTTCTTATTTTGATATAATACTTGTTCTCGGTGAATTTTTTTTTTTTTTTTTTTTTTTTAATATGACTTAAGTTTTTTCTCTACTATTTTTTTTAAAATTATTACGTTTTAATCTGAATTTTAATGTTAGCAAATTGTATGTATTACTATTGCTTTATTAGACAAGCTAAATTTATTTCATGTCAGTTTGTATTTTTGTATTATTATTTCATTTGAAAGGAAAACGGCTGTGTAGAGAAGGCGTTCAGAATTTTCGGATGCAATATAATAATTAAATAATTTAAATTAGTTCATCAGTTAATTTTGGATGAACAGGAACACTGTAATTTTCCTATGAAATGGAGTTGAGTTGAGATCTATCTACTTCTTTATAACATTGAATCAGATTTTGCTGATATTTGTTTCCTTCGATTTTTTATATATTTTTATATATTTCTATTGTTTTCGGGATTTCTTTTGGTTTAAAAACAGTGAGTTGAAGGGGTTTTATTACGCTTTTTATTGGGGTATTTTGGGATTGCATTGGTTTTAAATTCCATTTCTTCCTACTTTTGTGGAGTTTGTTTGGAATTTTTACTCTTTTAGGCTATAATTAATTAAGGTTTCAGCAGAATTTCGCACGAAAATGATTTTGAGATATTTTTGTTGTAAACAAATTTCTGTAATATATATATATGTAAGATAAAAAAATGCAAATCAAAATTATAATTTAAAATGCCTCTTAATTGCTCATTTTTAATTTGGGTACTTTATCTCTAGTAATAACTTTTTCTAAACTGCGTCATATCTGAAAACGCATTCCGCATTATGTCATCTTGAAACTTCTGCATTGCCTATAAGTTTTAGCCAATCAAATTAAAGAAAAATTTTGCTATAAATATTGTTGCAATCGTACCCCCCACCCCTTTTTTTCTCTGCTTTTGCTTGCTGGCTGAAAGACGTCTCTTGCTTTGCTGCTTTTGTTTAAAATGTAATGCGTCGTCATCAAAATTGTGGGATGCAAATTGCCCTCCATTGTGAAGTGCCACAAGTAATAAAGGTATATTTGAAATATCAAGTGATTTTTGTGATTTTCAAAAGTTCCAGACTGCCAAACTAAATTTTATCATCACACACATGTATATATATATATATATATATATATATATATATATATATTACCGTGAAAGATCGAAATTGGAGAATGTCGACTTTCACCGGAGAATGTCACCATTCACCAAATACGTCGGTGAAAGATCGAATATTTCTTTACATTCTTGTACATTCGGACCCTCACCGGTGTATGTCGACAATCACAGATATGCTCTGGTGTAGGTCGAAAAGAGAGGAGTATATATGTACACGCTGTCATTCCAAAAGGAAGTGTTCCACAAATAAATGCAGTTGTAAAAGCAAGGGCCTCTTGTGCAATTCAAAGTGTCATAATAGTTTAAGTTGTTGCAATAAATAAGATTTGAATCACATAATTTGGTAAGTTTATAACTTCTATTATTTTCCTTTCTCATTTTGAATGTACTGTGTGTTTTAAGTTCTTATATTCTTAAGTTCTTATTCTGAGTTTCAAGTGCGTTTTTTCGCGAATGAATTACGGAGAAGGAAATATAATATTCTTATATGTTCAACATTCACCATTAGTACATGGTGAATGTCGACATTCACCGATGTAAGTCAGAAATAAGAGTATTTGGAAAATATTTCGGACATACACCAAGCGACTATGTGAATGTTGACATTCACCGGTGAAAGTCAACATTCTCCAGCTTTCGGTGTTTCACCGTAACATATGTTTTGTTTAAAAAAATGTATTGTTATTATATTGTTACGAAATGTACAGGCACGGTGAGATAGCTTCCCCGCGAAGCAGGCTTAGGGTTGCCATAAAATGACAAGAGAAGCCCGGATTGCCACATTTGGCGAGAAATCGCCCATATGGCGACATTTGGCCTTCCCTTGGCATTTATGGGAACCTTAAACCTGCTTTGCTATCTCATAGCGCCTGTACATTTCGTAACAATACATATATATGCAGACGTCACTAAAAACATCTCTTCTGAATCCGTTTTAAGTCCATTTTATAATTCGTTATTTTGTTCTTACATACAGATGTAAAGGAAAAACATCATTCAAATGAATTCGAGAGCATTCAAAATGGCTATTTTCTTTGAAGTATGAAACACGAAATCTTTTGCAAATGCAACACTTCCTGTACTTTGCACAAGGAAATAAAAGATAAGAATATTTGCTTCATTTTAAAACAGTATTTCGCGAACTGTTTCTCAAAATTTCAAACGGAGGACACTTTTATAAATTAAAACTTTCTGCGAGCCACCTTAGTCTTGTCTCCTTCGAAAGTAACTTTTTTTAGCACGTGATATTTATCAGTATACTTATATTTTTAAAGTAAACTAAAATTTGTTAAATTTTATGTTGGTATTAAATAATTAAGTTAATAAAAGAAAGTGTGTAGTTATTTTTAATAAGGCTATATGAGTTTTATAATTTTTTCTTAGTAACTAAAAATTAAATAAATGCTGGTGCTGACGTTAATGAGATAGATAATTCTGCCAATTCTTCCATAACTATTCTGTGTTTGCATTTATGCTGGTAAAAAGCACATAGTGATAACTCTTTTGTTACTGAGACTAGAATGAGAAGTCGTAGGTTTATAAGGTATTTCTCCCGCTTTCCTAGCCTGTCTTGGTGGTATAATGGTTCTGCACCTTGGGCCGGTATTCCAGAGGTCCGTGTTTCGGTTCCTGGCGAAGGCGGTTGCTAATTTTTCATCTCTCCGCGTTTTCCAATTAATGTAATGTCTCTACAGTGGCGCCCGAACTAAAAGGGTGTTGGATTCTCCTCACCCAGAATTTGGCGATTGGGTCCCCTAAAAACCCCAGTCGCCCTTTAAAAAGGGGAGTATATAAGGTATTTCTCCCGCTTTCCTAGCGTGCCTTCGTGGTGTAGTGGTTCTGCACGCTGGGCCGGTATTCTAGAGGTCCGTGGTTCGATTCCCGGCGAAGGTGGTTGCTAATTTTTCATATCTCTTTCTTCCAAAAAATCCTAATGTCTCTACACGTTAAGGAAGCGGTAACAGATTTCACAAAAAAGTAAGTCTTGGAATAAAAATGATAGATGACTGCCATGTGTAATTTATAAATTCTGAGATTTTCAGCTATAATACGATATACGCAGTTAATTTGAATTTTACTTCTTTTTCAACCAGGAGAACCAGAAGATCAGATTTCGAGGGCCAATTCTGGACAGCGGACCAAAAATTAAGAAGAACTGTTGTAAGGATTTATCATATTCCCTTGTGGGTGCTATGATGAAGTAAATGGTTAAGATGTCTAGTTAATAAGTGGAAGATTCCTTGTTCACATCCTGGAAAGATATTCACTTTTCTAGCTTCAGTCGTAATTCTATGCACACATTTACAAATAAACGTAAAAAAAATGTATTTATAACGTACTCTGTGGCGATGCCCTGTGAAATCATGGCACAATCTGCTTCCCCCACCTCGAAAAGATAGAGTAATTCTATACTTTCCGTTCTAGTAGGCCGACTGATGGAATTTAATTTGCGTTTTTCATGTCTCGAAAGGGCGACTTACGATATATATTAGACTTATATATAACGTTGCTGTAGCAGAGATATTTGAACACCAAATTAGACATTTTCTGAAATGACATACCGGGTTTTTCCACATTTCGCATCTGCGACTCAAATTATGCCTAAATATAAACGTTTGTAAAATTTGGTGAGAAACTTACCGAGAAATTCAAAAATTGATCTGGACGCACTTTTTCCAGTTTGCGCCAAGAATACCTGACCTGGGAAATTCTTAATTTATGGTAGCCTATTTTCCTTTCTCTTTCATTGCGCGCGAAAGGAAAACAGGTGCATTGTTCATTCGTTCAAATATTTTTAACAAAGTGCCTAAATCACATTATCACGTATCGTCTTGAATTTCAAAACGCACCAATACGCACCCACGAACATCTTGGGAAATTTTGAACAAAAGCTCTTAATTTTTTAGAGGTATACCTAGAAATACTTCTACTTTACGGTGATAGTAAGAATTTTATAAATTATAGCCCTAAAAATTTATAAAAATTACTAAAAAATACAAATTTTAAAAGTAAATCAGAAATTATCTGAGAATTTTATTTGAATTAAACGCAAATTTCGAACCGTGAAAGAAAAAAACCAAGTAAATTTAATAAGCAAAGTCAAACGTAATAAAATATATAATAAATATATTTTTAATAAATATACAGCCAAATTCAAGAAAATTACAAAAATCCGTATTTCTTTGTTAAACAAATTATTTCTTCACTTTTGTATTTCAGAATAAATATTCACATCCCCAATTAATACCAATTATTCTAGGTAACTATTCATAAAGAAACAACTATTGAATGCAATCGAGAGAACTGTTGAGAATGAATATAAAAAACAAGAAATATTAACCTGAATAAAGAAAATAACACGATTTATAATTTAAGTGTGTAATACAACGGAAAAAATCATGTGCAAATTATATAACTTTATATAGTCATAAAACATATATGTGGCAAGTAGCCGTATGAAATGAAAAAACAGTTTTAGTAACATTAATTAAGTTATTCAGACGCATCTCTTAATTTTTTACTGTGAAACGGCTTATCAAATATGAGGTATAAATCTCGAGTACTTCTCGTTTTAATAAACTCTGTTGTTTTTATTGATATCGAAATTGTTTTACCTGAAGCATAACATCCGAGAAGAACTGGCAACATAAAATAGCTTTTCAAGAACTCCATACTGCTGCTTTTACTGACAGTTTAAAAGATTCGCAAAATAAAAAGTTGGTTTTGGCAGAAAAACAATAATGTGTTTCGTTTTGTCCCAATATGCTGTTTTCTCTAAGAGATAAAAGAAACCTGTCAACTAATCAGATTATCAGTTTTATTTTACGTCATTTATTTTGAAAGTGGGCGTGGTAAGTGGAGAGACTGCATTTCTGGAAGAACAAATATTATTGGTAAAAATTACATTCTGTACCTCATATTCTAAAATTTTCAAATTCAATAAATTATTTATTATATTTGTCACATTTTCCACTTTGTTAATACTCTATGGAAAAAAGGCTCACGATCTATTGGAGGAATGTAATGCTTATCTGGGACATATACATATTTCAAAATTCTATTTTTTTGTAAATAATTATAAATAACTTTAGAAAACTGTTACCTATGCAAATAATGTAATACAACTACTTGATATATTGGTAATTTGTAAAACATACATGTAAAATACCTAAATATTTTTTTTCTAAATTTGCCTTTTTATTACCTATGTATATATTAGTTTTAAAAGGTGCTTCCTTCCTTTTTAATAAACTACATAAATTTTATTATAAATAAACTGTAATTTTTTTAAGGAGATCACCAAAAGTTTCATCCAATCTAAAGAGCTCACGAGTGAAGAAAATTTCAGGAACCCTAGTATAGAATCTATTTGCGAACCTTATGAAGTCTGAAAGTAGATATTTCCGTGCAGTAGATATTTATTTTAAAATGATAGCCTTATGTTTTACATCTAAAGTTGTAGAGACATTAGGTATTTTTTTTTTTTTTTTTTTTTTTGTAAATACCTAATGTCTCTACCAACTACCAATACAACCGTTTTAGCCACCAACTTTGGCAGCTAAAACGGTTCTTACTACACTATCCATGGTGTCAAACTGGACTTGGACGACAGAAATGGGCAACTCATTCCATGCTGACCCAAGTCTATGACACACTTCATCAACCGTATTAGCTCGAGAGGGGTGGCGGGCCAGTCTCTTAGCAACTCATTACTTAGTTTTCAATGGGTGACAGATCTGGAGACCAGGCCAGGGCAGCAATGGAACACCCTCTGTATCGAGGAAGGTCAGAACCTGACGTGCAACAGATGGTCTTGGATTATATTGTTGGAACATGACGTTTGGGGACCTTGAAGATAAGGCATAACCACTGGACGTAAGATGTCAGAAATGTACCCATCTGCGTTCAAATTACAGTTCATCCGAGCTAGAGATGTGCGTGTCCTGTACCCAGTGGCTTCGTTAACCATCATACCGGGTGCAGGGCCTCTATGACATTGAATGCAAGCAGGCGACTTGCGGTCTCCTTAGACATTCTAGACACGTATACGGCCGTCAGAATACTGCACGTAGAACCAGGACTCGTTTGAAAAGGCAACCAGGACTCGTTTGAAAAGGAGTGTGCCACCACTCCTGTACCCAACTTTGTCGTTTGGCTCGCCAAAATCGCCGTCTGTCTATGCTGCATTGTTAAGGGAAGCCGAAGCTATGGTCACCCTGCTGATAGTCCACGCTACTGCAAACGTCGACGCACTTTATGCAAACATGCCCATTTCCTGACTAATGGTCTGTGATGTGGTTGTACGGTTTTGCAGGTCTGACCTCATATTATGTCTGTCCCCTCGGGCGTTAATCATGGGAGGGCGTTGAGATCCTACATGCCGTTTAATATGATTCTCAACAAGCCATTGATTCCCTATTCGTATGACAGTGTTAGAAGTTGACTAGTGTGACGGGCGATATCACGGAACGATAATCTGCTTTCGAAACTTGCTGGTAAGCATTTCCTCTTCTTATTCGAGGCATAACAGGATATTCTGAGTAAACTCCAACCTTACAAATCACTTTCCGAGTGAAATCCACTACCAAACATTTCTTTTTCTCAATGTCCTGTTGGACGAAACGCATCCTGGAATTTAGCAGAGTTCGAATTTTGCCATGCATTTCCCTTGAAAAGTCCATGGTGATATTCGAAATTAGGCTAATTATTCCATTTACCGCTGTTTGTAGTAGTTATTGTTTTTTTTAATATGATGTTTTTGCAGTTTTTTTCTAATATGTTTTGAGATAGTAGCTTACACTTTATTCTGCATACATATTAACTTTTAAGTTTGAATAAGTTAAGCTTTCATCCTTTTCTATTTTTCTTAATTAGTATTTCATATATATTGTGCTTTTACATTTTGAATTACAATTGGATCTTTACTTTGTGTTTATACTATTTTGCAAAGGAACCGAAGTATCACTTTAGCTCATAGGCTATACCTCGAAGAATTTACTTTTTAATTTTATTTCAAATTTTGCAGCTCAATGCGCAAAATTCTTGACCTCACAGGTTCTTTTAAGTTTAGTTAGTTTGCCTTTCTTACATAATATATATATACCCACCCTGTTACCCAGCTCGGTGAGTTCTGTTTTTTAATTCTTGTGTGATTGTAAATTTTAAATTTTTTGCTTTAAAAATTGATTGAATTATGTAGTTCTTATGCTCCGGTTAAGGTTTTTATGCTCTTAATTAATCTGTTTGCAGTAGTTATATAATTATCAGCTATTTAAAAGTTCATGCGGTGCTAGGCCTAGCGAGGAACCCTGTTTTTGCGTTTGAAACTGTTAGTAGAATAATGAATTAAGTCAGATGGACCAAAACTTAACCGAAAGTTAAAAGTTTCGTGCCCCGAAAATTATGTTCCTGCCGTATTGCAAACTGGTTGCTTTTTGCATGGAAACTCTAATTTTAATTGTAAAACTTGTTTTTTTAACTGCATTTTTTGTGTTAGGTTTTTCTGTATTTTACAATTCTTAATAATGATGCTCTGAGATTTTATGTATTTTTCCCTTGCCGCGAAGTGAAAACTGAATTGATTGAATAAGAAATACATCTCTAATAAATTTGAGGAAATAAGTTTAAATGAAGTGCGCGATTTATAGATTTTTTTCCCTACGTGAAATTCAGAAATTACCATTATACAAACCGTTTTATAGAGGTATGATTAATTTACAATAATCAAATCATTTACAATACTCAAACAAACGGCAACCGTTTTATAGAGGTATGATTACTTTCCCATAACAAGTAGAATAAAAAATGTAAAGTTTTGTATGAAAGAGTAGCATAGCTTCAGAACTCTAAGCATACAAGGAAAGATACTTAACGTGTAAGCACGACAATCTTGATAGGATTTGACAAATTTTATAAAATAAAAATAATAATTAAAAAATTGCAATAATAAATTAAACTAAAATTTAAAAAATATTATAATTAAATAATATGATAAATTAATTATAATTAAAAGCGTTTATTACACACATTAATATTATTACATACATATTTTACATTTTAATTTATATATTTGATATCTGATAAACATGGGAGTTTTTGTTTGTTTCGTTTTGACGGATATTTAGTCGCTACTGTTTAAAAAAGAGATTCGAAAAAATTAGCGAATTCTCTAGCGACTTTGTAAAAAAATACTGTATTCCTGCAGAAATTTTACCCAGTTTCTTCCACTTCAAATGCATATTTTAAGTATCCACAACTGCATATTTTAAAATTGAGTTTAAGGTATGAAAACTCACGATCCTTTTTTGAGGTATATTCTGAGAGGCGACAAAAGCTGTGGCTGCGTCACTGGATCAAATGATTCAAACACTGCACGAAAGGTTTTGAGCTGTGTGATTAAATTTATTGCCACTGCTGATTGTCCCAGAGCGGTAAGGACATTTGTCTCTGTAGGCAGCTGGAAGCGCATAAAAGAAATTTTGGAACAGCCATGGAGGTTATCAATACATTTTGCATATTGTTACTTTTTCGATCATTGCAATGAGTAAATTTCAGATATTTGTGGTTAATCTTCCATAATCGGGGTGAGTTCGAATCTTGGCGAGAGCTTTTTATTTGGCGCGATTTTGATTTGGTTATGGTTTCCGGCTGTATGTTTTCTTGTGGCAAACCTATAGCTTTATTTCGGTGATTGTAATAACTGCGTTTAGTGTAGCTAGAATATATATACACTGCTCGACATTGAAAATGCAACACCAAGAAGGAGTGGTCAGAAAGTGATGAAATTTGGAAAAAAGACAGAGACGGCAAGCAGCAATAAGTGATCTTTCTTTATTTCAAAATGATAATCAGAATACAGAGCGAGAACGGCGTCGGCTCGGTAGGATATAGGACCACCGCGGACAGCGATGCACGAAGAAACACGTCTAGGCATAGCGTCAATAAGAGTACGGATTGTGTCCTGAGGGATGGTTCTCCATTCCCTTTCGACCATTTGCCACACTTCGTCTTCTGAACGAGGCAGGGGCAGAGTCTGCAAACGACGTCCAATCACATGCCACACATGTTCGATTGGTGACAGGTCAGGAGAGTACGGTGGCCAGAGAAGCATCTGCATGCCTTGCAGAGCATGTTGGCAGATGCGAACACTGTGTGGTCGGGCGTTATGCTGCTGAAAAATTGCATTAGGCAGTTCCTGAAGGTAGTGGATTGCCACAGGCCGCAGTACATTATCCAAGTATCGTTGGGCCGTCATAGTGCCCTGAATATGAACTAGAGGTGACCTGGAATCATAGGCAAGCAATAGCGCCCCAAACCATTATGCCACATTGTCGTGCGGTAGGGTGTTCCACAGTTACTGCCGGATTAGACCTGTCTCCATGTCGACGACAAACACGTATGCGGTGACTGTCACTGGATAAACAAAAGCGTGACTTATCTGAGAACACGACGTTTCGCCATGCTGTCATCCACGTCGATCCAGTCTGGCATATTCTAAACGATGGTGTCTATGCTGTGGGGTCAATGGCAGTCTTCTTAACGAATGCCGCGAGTGCAGGCCACGTTCAACCAGTCGACGCGAAATGGTTCTGGTCGACACGGGAACATCCAGGGTATCATGCACATGCTGCAGAATCGCCGTACAAGTGACTTGCGGGACCGCCACAGCTTGTTCGCGGATGCGTCGATCCACGCGTGCTGACGTCACTCTGGCTGCACCTGCACTCCTCCTTCTTCCCACATTTCCTTGTTCCAACCATGTTCGCCA